GAGCTTTGGGGGTGAGGTGAGGTGGGACGGGATGGGATGGGATGAGGTGCTTTGGGTTGGTGGGGTTGGGAGTGGGAAGGGGCGTGAAGGTAGGGTGGGTTGAGGGAGGATGGTGGTTAGAGGAAGGAGAGGTGGTGGTGTGGTTATGGGCCGGTTGATGGAATGTACAGCTGGTTAGGGAAGCTGGTTAGGGAAGCTGATTGGGAGACTTGGTGTTTTCTTGGTGAATAAAGATACATACTATGCCATGCCATGCTTAGGGAAGGTGGTGACTTTGGGCTTAAGAACACAACAGAGGCCGGGAGAACTTTGAGAATGAGAGAGGGGGTTAGAGGCGTATCCGGAAAGGGGAAATGTGCAACATTGTGTCGCTCATTGAGGCAAGAGTCTAGATTGGAGCTGTCTGTTATCATGTACTATCTCGGATTTGCACATTTTCAATCTAACGTCACGTAGTGTTCATTCGCCTCCATATGATAGTTGGAAGTGGGCATCTTTTACGGAAGACTTATATCAATTGATATATGGAACTACTGCTCTTGTCTTTTCTGTTCATGTGCCATGCATAATACTGTGTAGATGGTAAGAACCTCGTCATGACTGACTATTACCTCCCAATCAGCAAGTATATCCCATCTAATGCTGGGTTGAAAGAAACAAAAGCTTCAAGCCGCTTTGATGCTCCAACGGCTCAAAAATAAAGGAAACCAAGAAACGTAGATTAATAATTCATCAAGTAAAAAAAAGCAAAACCTTTATCCCGAACCGTCTTAACAGGTAGACGGGTCAGGATCAGGAGAAATCCTCCAAGCAGAGGATTTTTTTCGTATGCGAAGGAAGGGCGGAAGAGAGAGGAGGAGGACTGGTATCTGGCTTCGGGGGGTATGTGCCAGCGTAACAGTTGTCGAGTTGAGAGGATTCGAACCGTGCGGACCTTTGGGAGGGACTGTTGATTTCGTGGCGAGGTAATGGGATGCTAAACCACTACACCACTGTGCCAAAGGATGTTGGTCATCTGCAGCTAGATTAGAGATTATGTGTTTTGATGTTGGGCGAACACCGGAGATGTGGGAGTTGCTGAACACACGGTGCGGTGTTTGGATTCTTTTAAAGAGCGTAATTCGCCGAACCTTTATCTCTTAGGCGTGGATCTCTTATTCTACCTTTATATGCTCATATAGGTAGGGTCGTTTCTTGCTCCTGAGACAACTTACCCCCGATCCAAATCTGGAAGCCAGCAATTGGGATCTTCGGAGCTGAAGGTGTGACACATGGAGGCTTAACGGCTCCTATAGATTCAGCTTCTGAGGTGCCCCTTGAGGTAGAACTTCTTCATCTTTGATGACATCGATGACAACAGCCATTTTGACCTGACGCTTCTCTGGTGGAATGGATGCCTAACGGTGGACTTGAAGACGACTCGTTCGGGTCCAGGACCGTTTTCGTTGTAAGCTCGTTTGTCAAACCATGAGCGTCAAGGCTGCAGATTAAGAAGTTCACGAAGAGTATAACGCCAAAATTTAGTACCATAAGACCGGCCTGCTCATGCATAAGACTTCTGGACAATGCAGACGGCCTTGAGATGAATTTCTTACCACGCTTCCGACGGTCCAAGCCTTGTACCTGAGCACCCGGGCTATGAAGTGCAAAGCAAGACCAACCAAAAAAGTCACCCAAGACCAGCTCATCAGCATCATTGAATTCTGCCAGAAGAAGAACATCCTCCTCCGTCTTGGGAGACCCTTCGGTGAGGTCAGTTCGACCTGTTCAGGGTCATGGGACACCACTGCTGTACCGGAATCTTTGCCTGCTGGAGCCTTGGAGGGAAATACGAGATCATTTTGATTATGTCTCGTAGCTGAGCCTCGGAATGACTGCTTGCGGGAGAGTTAGGAAAAAAAGCCAGTACACGAGTTTATGCGGAACTGATCAACGCAAAGATTGATAAAACCAAGCTACAATAAAAGGACATCGGAACGAGCCAGATGGAATGCTGGATGGCTGCCATGAGAAGAGTCTGATAGTCGCTGCAGTTGAAAGTGTGCTCTGCTCGTGTAAGTGCAGTCTAATAGATGCGGAAATTCAATTCTTCACAGCCAAACGGATAAACTTGATCTCTTCCTCCTATTGGACTTTAAACTGGTGCAGCAACTTCCTCAATCATGTGGGATCTGCTTGGCTATTGGCGATGTCATAAATGGGATCAATAGTGTAGTAGTGAAGTGGAGCATAGTAGGAGAACGCGATGATGCGAAAGACCCACATTGCCAGCGGAGGGAGCGAAAGCGCCGGAGAATGCTTGTGCGAGTTACGGGATATCTTGGGTCTTATAATGTCTCATAACCGGTCTTGCTGCTTGGTAGCCAGAATAAAGTCCCCTCATATGTAGCCAAACCTGCCAATTTCCTTCATATGCCCTTCGTTTAGAATTTTGTCCACCAACTAAGTCTTAGCCTTGTGCTATCAGGTAGGTGCGCCCGAAGCGCATTGTAAACGCAATATAAAACTCGATACGCAACAGACCGCATTTACATCTGGCTGGTCACCTCTTTCAGGTATATTAATCCGGAGCTAACGTGACGATCAGGCTTTGGTCGGCTCCATATCAGCACAAGCGAGCTCAGCCAAACGGCTCAACTATGCTGAAAATACAGCTTGACTCGGAACAGCATGGCAGCAGCTTGTGACATACATTCGTCTCACACTTCATGGGGACCCTTTTCGCCGTTGATCCAGTCAACCCGTGGGGATCCTGTAAACAATCGAAACCAAGTCTGCCTTGTCTTGAAATCTTGCAGTCTTTTCGGAGAAGATGACGGCGCTCGATGACCAAAAAACCCCCATAGCCGCCAGATGATTACCACCGCCGTTGTCAGCGGGACTGTTACGGCAAGAAACATCCACCACTCATTGGTGACAGTCAAGTTTCCTGCTTGGCCATCGAAAAATGCCATGCCGAAGAAGCTCGAAACCGCCGACGCTGGCAGGAAAACCATCGTTAAAGCAGCGATGACCTTCATCGACGAGCTGTCGTTCCTTGTGTCCTGAGCAATCCCCATGTTGGTTTCCGCTTCTTTCTGACTGACAAGATTGTACACCAAGCTCATGGCTGTCTCTTTGCGTGTCTTGGTGTTGAGTAACCACCGCTTCCTTGCCTCTACGCCGTTCTTGAGATAGTCTGCCGCATTGATGGATTGAGAATGTTCTTGTTTTTCCCTACAACCCCCAAAATATACAAGACGCTCTTGAGCAAGACGTAAGCTGTCCATCAAAGCAATCCCGGCGTCAGCGCTGTGGATCAGAAAATCTGCTTCTTGAGATGTTTGATGGAGCTTGAAGGTGAGCGACTTCATTATGTTGCGATCATATGGTGTTTCTGCGGCTGCGTCAACAATATCTATTGAATCATTTAAGCGCTTGTCTAGGTCGCATAGACTAGAGTCAGATTGCATGAAGCACTCGTGCGAGATGAGTGTTGGCACAAAGAGAGGATCTGCGGCATTGTACCGGGCAGCAGAAAGTCTGCTAGATGCGTCAAATGCAAAGGTGAGCCGAGTCTGAACGGCTTCGATGACCTGGTCGTGAGATGCGGCAGTAATGAGACATGTGGTCATTCCGCTTCTTTTCTCCAAGCTTGTCCAGATTGAAACAGGCCACTGCATGTGGCCGAAGCCCCACCAGGGCTGTTGACAGATGAAGTCTGAGCACGAAGTCAGCGGAAGAATCCATCATGTTCATACGGCTGACTGGTACCGAGTTTCTGAAGCTGGCCATTTCCATCGAAAGTTTCGAAACTAGCCGAAGGTAAAAAATTCACCACTGGCTGACCGAGCAGAAGCGAAATAAACTCGGCTCTAACCTCTAATTGATTCAGCAGCGCATTGGTCGTATGCTTTCGTAAAGAAAGGCGGCAGCCAAAGGTTGGCCGCTTGCAATTGTTGGTCTCGGGAGAGTCGAGCGTAAGAAATCTGGGCGGAACATTAGATCGAGGTTTTGGGACGTAGCGCATGGTTTATGGAGGCAGTGGTGCAAGATTGTGGTCTGTCCTTACAATATTCTGGTGGCCAGAGGGTTGTTCGATTGCGATCGATCCTGAATACCAGCTTGTTAGAATTGCAAGAACCTCTGCACGGAGAATGCCTTTCTGACCTTGAGGTGGGATAGAAGTTCAGCATCTCCCAGGCCTCTCATCCACTGTCCTATACCATTGCTTGTTATTTCAAAGATATCGCATGACGTGCTGTCAACGAAGTTGTCGTCATTCGATAGAAGGTGTTGCTCGTAGCTAAGGTTATTAACGGCAAACGAAGTATAAGGTGGCCCATGAGGAAACAGAGTCTGGTCCAAAACAGTCTTCCGCGTCACGCTGAGATCTATTGATCCCTTTGCATCTCCCGTTTCGTCCCGCGTAAGTAGATTTCACGGCTTCTGGTGTGCTTTTAACCTTCGGTAATACTCAGGGAGGTATTCGTCCAACTTCGAAACTAGGTCTTGACAAAAGCCTGTGTACATACTGTAGCCGCCGAGTTAGATGTGTCCTACTCGACAGCTGGGCATTGTATTACTTATATCTGGCTCTACGGTCTCTCCCATACATTCATTGACCATTATGGGGGCGTGTTTCAGCCTTGGCGTGTTGGAGCCGCTCACCTTACTCCGTATTTGGAGGGTGGAGGGCCTGTCATTAAAACCTCCATCGAGCGTCTGTTGTTGTGAACATTTCTTCGCTTCAGTTCTATGCCTCAAGATTTAATGGCAGATATGAGGTGGTTGGCAGTTGGAGCATGGCCCGAAGCTTGGCGCAGAAATTTATGGCAGTTCTCAGATTCGTGCTATCTACACAGCCATTTAATAGGGGATAGGGCGCCCATTTCGCTCATTTAGGGCAGCTACTCTATCTGGCATTTTTGAGATAGCCTCATTAATCTCCTTGATGGTTATTTTATCCCACTCCTCTTGAATAGCGCGGCGCAGAATGGCTTCTTCGAAGATGACCCCCCTGGACTTCAACCTTTGCTTAATTATCCTCCAGATAGTCTCAATAGGGTTGAGATCTGGCGAATTCGGAGGATTCATTTCCCATTGGATACCAAGTCGGGCTTTGAGAGCTTTGACCTTATTAAATCGCTTTCCTTTGGTTCCATGAGGCCCATCATTATCTTCGACCAAAACGTAATTCTCATCCCATTCAGGAGCGACGATTTGCTCAAGAATAATTATGTAATCAGCTTGAACAAGCCGTCCCCCTATACCAGAGCCGGTATAGAAGTAGAGCTGACCCTTGAAATTCTATCTAACAACGCCATATACGTGTATAGATTGATTTTGGCGTTTTAATCTAAATTGGGTCTTCAAGAGGGCATTTCGAGCCTCATAACCCTTTCGACGATGAATTCGAGCCTGTCGTTGCAAGCAAGTGGCGAAATGGGACTCGTCGCACCATCGAAACTTCTTAAATGCATCTAATTGCCAATATTGACGGTCAAATCCCCATATAATTCGGGCATCGATATGTGATTGTGAGAGCATTTTTTTCTGGGCAGCCATATAGGTCCCTACACCAAAATCCTTCATATTTTGTTGAATTGCACGTTCGGAGCCATTAGCTAGACCAATTGTCCTTGCCACCCTTAAATGACTTGACGAAGCAAAGCCAAAATTAGCATCTTCGACAGCCTCGATAGCTTCGCATTCGTATGGAGCAAGTATCTTTTTGCGACCTCGATTGTGGACTTTTTCGCTGCGGCGCGCAGTTCCTTCTTTAAGGATTCGATAGCCAGTTCGATTTGCTATATTATGTATCTTAAATAGCTTTGTACGAGGCAATTTGCCAGCTGTGTGGCGTGCATCAGCAAGAAGGCGCGCTCGGCGCGGCGTATCGACTATCGTTTTTGGCGTTCGTAAGGCCGCAGGAGAAGGAGGATCAATCGAATGAGACTTTCGGCAGACGCGTCGTCTATTTCCCTGTTCAGAATCCATTGTTCCCTAAATTTGAGTGAGTATTAGTAGAGAAATAGAGGAATGAAGAAGGGGGGGGAGGAAGGGGATCTGAGAACTGCCATAAATTTCTGCGCCAAGCTTCGGCCCGCTTCGCGCCGGCGGCTCAAACAAGCGTCAACTTTGCTGTTTTTGGTCTTTCTCTTTTCCGCTTTCGCTGTGCTGTACACATGTCGTGGATGGATAGAGGAATACTCTGCTCTTCCCTGACGACTAATGGTAGGCTCGCCAAGAATTACCTTAGCAAATGATCTTGAGAACACTGTCCTCGAGCGTTTCGATAAGCTGGTTGCCAGTGGTGATATATTATACGAGGCATCTGAACCGGAGATAGTACAGCATGAAGGATTTCAGGTATGAAACATACAGTGTCCATATCCCTTTTGGTACCAAAAAGAATATTTGGTTGGACCCTAGCCAAAAAAAACTTTTTGCCTACTGCATTTTGTATGACCCGTGCATTGTGAACATAGTTTGAGTTCCGCATTGTATCATTCTTCGGCAAGAAACCCATCGCTGCGCCTGATTCACCAGAAAGGACAAAAGCCGGCGGACCGTTCGAGAATCCTGTGCCCCAGGAAATCATCGCGAATGTGGGCTTGTCTCACCGACTCTTAGTCAAGAAATACGGTGCGTAGAGGCCTATGCTTGTCTTGCCATCAGTCAAATATGCGCCACAAACAGACGTTCTCAACGGCTCGGACATCGCGGCCGGATGGGCGGTGTTGAAAGCGTTCAAGACGCCTCCAATGGTTATTTACAATTGCGGAGCGAATGCAGGGTTCTCCCAGGACCACAAGCATCTTCAGGTCTTCCCGCTCCCAAGCTCAATGGGCCAGGGCCTCTTCCCGGCGCGGGCTACTTCGTCCAAGCACATTGAGGACATGATCAGCAATGTGCCCTTCAAACACTTTGTCATGCGCATCACTGCGACCGCCACCGCAAGAGATGTTTTCGAGAAGTACCAGCGCCTCCTCATAGAGACTCAGAAAGCATTGAAAGCGGCACAAACTGGGCACGACTACAACGTGATCTTCACTGCCGACTGGATCGTATTGATACCTCGCAGAACCGCCGTCTGGAGTGGTCCTTTCGGAGCCAATGCATCGGGCATGCTAGGTACTGTTGTAGTTCCAAGTAGACAGCAGAGAAACCAGTGGGCTGAGCTGGGGTACACTGAATATCTCGCAAGGCTTGGTATTCCTTGGGACTGAAGGAAGACAGGGGCTCACATCTTCCATCAGCATACAGCTTTGTTGCATGGTAGCACGCAGAAGATATCTTGCTGTCCATCGAGCAGCTCGGAAAACCAGGAGTTGGAGTTGAGAATCTCATTAGAGTTACACCATAGCCTACCAATGCCAGCCATCGCCATTGTCCCTTGGACCTTTGCCACCAGATTGTCGCACCATTGCTACCTCTCCTGGCTCGAACGCCTCTGGCCTCTGATGTCTCTGGCCCGTGCTAGATTCATCTTGTTATGCCAGGATGGATGACAACGAATTCCAAGTTTTGGTCCTTGTACTCACCTGGAAGGCCCTTAGAGACGCCGCTGACTGCCGCATTGGAGCCCGGGATCGGCGGAGCACCTTCTTGGGTGGCGGCAACCTGTTCTCGCGTAGAATGAGACCAGACAAATAGAGCGAACGGAGAACAGAGCTGATTGGAAATGGAGCTCGTATCACGACTCGCGAGTACACGACCTTAGAGATTGGTAGTAAACGTCTCCTAGATTGCCATGCAAGATGTTTTCATCGGGCTAAATCTTGTCCTTCTGTTCAGACTTCATGCCAATGGTGTTAACTCACCGCATAGAGTGAAACCCTCCTCGGAAAGATGCTGTAACGTGGTGTAAGAGTATTGTTCACAAGGATATGTTGTGAGATCTTGGAAAAGAAGGGTCTCTCGTTCAGGTACACTTAGTCAATGAGCTGACTGTGTATTTGTTTACATACTTCACTCTTTGACAGATTAGCCTCTCAAGTACTTTTTCTGCTCAACTGGAATGACATGCAAACAGCTAAGTGCAGAAAATGCGAGTTTACAATCGCCAAGACATTTAATATATAACGCGAGACGCGTTCAAGTGTCTCCACGCTGCATGATCGCTCTTTCCGGCCCACTTCCACAATCATCATCATCAATCCTCAGCAATCCCATCTCATCACGAATCCGAAGGGAGGAAAGCTCTTGAAATTACTCAAGAACATGTACACCATTGCAACCCCGACAGCACCGGTAACATTCGAACAAAGCCAGCACGACTTCAGCCCCAAAACGCCCTCCCCACTCCGAACGTCACGAAATGCGAACCTGATGCCTCCTCCCCTCCCGCCTCCTCCTCCTCAATGGTCCTCGTCCCCTCCTCTTCTAGACACCAAAAGCTCTCCCCTCGCCCATTACGCCCCAGTTCAGCAAGCCTTCTCACTCACCCCCCGACCCCAACCCCGCCGAGCATCCACACCCTCCATCTTCGCCATCTCCTCAACCTCAACCTCAACAACCTCCATGTCCACCAATGCAAACGTCACCACCTCCTCCGCAACATTCGCCTCCCGCTCCCGCGCCTCCACACCCACCGCCACGCTCAGCGCCCACGCGGCCGCGGCCAAAGACCGACGGAGAACGCTCTTTCGCGATAGGATCCGTAAACAGCGCGATGATGCGCGGGGTTCGAGGGGAGGAGGGATCAGGTGTTACGCATGGATTTTGTGAAGGAGCGGAGGGAGTGGGAGGAGCGACTGAAGCGGAGAGCGCCTGCGACCGCTGTCGCTGAGGAACTGGATGGCGATGGCAGGATGGAGGGGATGGATGGGCTTGGCGGTGAGGCGGATGGAATTGTGCCGTTGACGGAGGAGGAGGAGATCGAGGCGTTGGCGCAGTATTTGTTGGAGAGGGAGGATGAGGATGAGGATGAGGATGAGGAGATGAGGTTACGAGAGAATGGAGATGAGAGGAGGGGCTGGGAAGAGCAGTGGCAGAGACGGCGGCTGAGTGATCATGAAGGTTTCCGGTCTGGTGGCTCTGGGAGCTATGGTTCGGACGAGGAGGATTACGATCAGCTGTTTATGGAGGTCATCAGTGGCAGTCAGGAGCAAGGAGGTCCAGGGCGCTGGCCGGTGCAGCAGCAGCAATGGGGTCAGGATTCTGGTCTGGATGCTGATCAAGGTCAACTGAGTTCGAGCATGGATCTCTCATAAGAATTAACAGACTGGCGATGGGACAGGATGGGACCAAAACATGGGGAAAATGTGCGAATGTGAAGCAATACCTGTATACGTAATTGCCAAGGGGTATCATAATCCCATGCTCAGAGTATCGAGCCTGAAGGCCTCTCTCTATGCAGATGATCTCAGAAACTCATTAACCCAGCCTTTCTCCCACTCATTGGGTCGGACATCCAGCATCGTCTTGCTTCCCACTCCCTCCTCCTCCTCCCATCATCCCCGGAAAGGGATTTGCAATCAGATCCTCCGGCGGACTCCCCATCGCCTGCATCTTCTGCATCCTCTCCCAGATAAACTCCCTACATCTCGAATCCTCATCGCTGTATGCCTTCTCCTCGAATTTCGCCACAATCTCCCTCACCACGCCCCTCTGTCCTTCATATCTCTTGTAATCCTCGTCCGGTAGTTCCCCCTTCTTCTTTGCCAGCCACTCCGGGTACTTGGAGTCGAGCTCCTTCATGGGCTCGTAGAGCATGTCTTTGTTGGTGAGTTGTTCCATCATGCCGAGGAACATCTTGCTGAGGGGGTCTTCGGAGTTGGGGTCGCCAGCAGAGGTGGTGTCGCTGGTGCCAGCGGCGCGAGGTTTCCAGGGCTTTGAGGAGGGTGGCGAGCATGTCTTCTTCTTCTCCGGTCGTGCCCTCGGCGGTGGGTTTGGTGGCGGCGTTGGTGGCGTTGGAGTCGGATGCTTGCATGCGCTCCATGGTGCGACGAATGGTTGAATCGAAGGACTCTTTTTCGCCGGAGGAGGAGGAGGAGGCTTTTGAGGGATTCTGCGCGGAGGGTTGGGGTTTCGAGTCTGTCGATGGGATGGCGCTTGGGGGAGGGGCTTCCGTCGGTAGGTCGTCTCCCAGAATAGCTTTCAGTAGATCCTCGGGCTTCAGGCCTTGTTTCTCCATAGTGCTGGTGAATTCTTCCAGTTCTTTGCCCATTGTGGAGATGTCCTCGGCTGATGCGGTCGAGGCGCTGGGATCCGGGTTCAGGTTCCCTAGTACCGAGGACATTTCTAAGGCCAGACGCGCGAGGAATGCCTCTTCTGATTCGGAGGATTCAGGAGTCATGAGAGAAGGTGCAGCCATCGGGGTCGTTCCAGATGACGAGGGTCTTCCGGGCCCCGACGAGGAAGGTGTGGGCTGTTGTGGTTGGACATTGGGCTGAGGTGTGGGTTGCTCGTGAGCAGAAGAGAACTGATCGAGCACATCTGGACGGAGACAGCGAGGTAAGCGCAAGGAATACAGCAGGCACGAACGAAATATATCACCATCAAGGTCATCGAAATCTGGGTCCGAGTCGTCGTCGGCTGTAACTGGTTTGGTTACTGGTGCAGATGTAGGTGGTGCTTCTGCTTCATTGTGAGGCTGCGCATCTCCCTTACTTTCTGACATCTCTGCAAGCCTCTGATACTACCATGGAACAGATGTTCTCAAAAACATGCCTCGTGATTCTTCGATTTGGACCAATTTTGTCGGCTCCGTCACCATGCCGCTCTATCCTGGATCCTGGACTCTGAGCCGAGGCAATTCTTCTCTCCCTGCCGCCAAGAATTATCCCTTTCCCGGAGATCGAGTCTTGTAGCATACTACGTATGCTGCCAGGTTGTTCACACATACCTCGTAAACCCAGCCGAAATGTGCATCTTACTTGCAGTGGTGGTTCAACGCTCAATGTCTGCTAGAGCCGTCAATGCTTCGTTGAGCCTGAATCTTATGCCACTCATGAGGAGCATGCATTGAGCCCCAATTGCCTGCATTTTAGTTAAGCCCATTTCCAGTGGCAATTTCAGAGCAAATTTCCTGCCGTTCTGTACCAGCCTTTTTTTTTAATGTACATCTGCGTGCTTTGCTCCTTGATAGGTAACACGACTTACTTTCTGCACGTTTAAGAGGCAGGTGGATGATAGTCGAGATCAGAATTGTGGCTCATGACGGGGGGAGCCCAGAAAGTCTAGAAAGTGCTCTGAAGGACACAAGACAAAAGAAACTAGGGAAAGAGAGCTGAGAGCTACCAGCACCCAGTTCTACTCAGTTCTTCGCATGTAGGTCTCAGCAGGGTACCCTGTACTGCGAAGTTCCTCTTCTGCTGTCGTGTGTCAAGTGTCCCAGACGCTTTCTTGAACATTCAGTTTGAGCTCCTCTACATGGTTAACTCTGGATTTCGGGGGGAAAGGAATGTATCTACCTTGCAGCTCTCTGCTTTCATCTTGTCCCTTCCATAGCCATTGAGGTTATACACTGTTCTTCTGGCGCAGACCACAATGGCAAATGCCAATGGATTTATAAGGACTATATCTTCCATACAGAGCAGTGTTCACTACAAAGCTCCAACACCTCCCATCCACAATTCCACAGCTACACGTGCAAGACAATGTCCCTGATCAGCAGTCAATTTACAGCCCAGAGCTTCACAAAAGTGCCCTCCACCACAACTCCCAACCACATCATCATAGCCACTTCCACATATGTCACCACTACCACAGTCACCTAGAACCTTAGCATACCATCCGTATCTAGAAAACCATTGTCGTCTATGCTAGCCCAGCCAATATCGTATAATTGTAGCAAAATAGCCCCCACCATCTTGACCGTGCCTCTCAGCATCATCATCATCATCATCATCATCATCATCATCATCATCATCATCATCATCATCATCATCATCATCATCATCATCATCATCATCATCATCATCATCATCATCATCATCATCATCATCATCATCATCATCATCATCATCATCATCATCATCATCATCATCATCATCATCATCATCATCATCATCATCATCATCATCATCATCATCATCATCATCATCATCATCATCATCATCATCATCATCATCATCATCATCATCATCATCATCATCATCATCATCATCATCATCATCATCATCATCATCATCATCATCATCATCATCATCATCATCATCATCATCATCATCATCATCATCATCATCATCATCATCATCATCATCATCATCATCATCATCATCATCATCATCATCATCATCATCATCATCATCATCATCATCATCATCATCATCATCATCATCATCATCATCATCATCAT